TGAAACAAGTTACTGGTTTATTTTATATATCAGTTAATAACAATTAAGTTATTCATAGTACTGGTAAGTGTATCATTGAAGAATAAATAAACTAGGAGGGTAAACTTAATCCTTACTAATATAATAAATAGGAAAGTAAATATATTCGTTTGATAACTTTTGGTGCCTAAAAACTCAACAATTTTTTTTTAATAGGTGATAATGGAATGGTAATTCTGCCTGCGCTATACACTGGCGGTGCACTGGTGAGAGATGATACGTGAGGATGAAAGCAGGTCAATTAGCTTATATTATTAGCTCATAGTGTCAAATTCATAATGAATTAACCAAGATGGTTTCCAGGGAGAACAGCGTGGAGGTCAACCTGACTAATAATCACTTTACTCCCCTCATGAAGTTTAATATTTACGTAAGGTAAGCTCGCCTTTGTACATTACATTTAAAATTAATTGTTCTTAACATTATGTTTGTATACAATAAAGAATAAATAAAAAAATAAGCTTTGAGATGGACCAGTTCGTAATTTACTTTACGTCCTGGTCAAATTTTATACATCGGTTTTATATACCGGTTACACGGACGAATTCGTGGGTGAAAACTATAGTCTATAATGTTTTCAAACAACTTCAAGCAGAAGGAGGTTTTCAATTAGTTCGTATTTTTTTGTGTTGGTTACCTCTTCACTCTATCAGTTCTAAACCGATTTCGAAGATTGTTTTATTAAATTGTTTAAAAATATATCCTATTTATAGATTGGTCCCATATTTTTCTTTGAATAGGATATATTTCTAGATTGGGTCCCATATTTTTCTTTTCAAAATCGGTTCAGTAGTTTAATTTTTAAATCAAATTTGATTTTGTCACAACTGAAGTTGGTTTATTTATTTATTCATTAGTACAAATATGTGAACATGGCGGACTTAATGCTAAAAGCATACTCTCCCAGTCAACCAGTTCATAGGGAAGTGTCAGAATACTCGAATACGGTACTAGTAATTATTGATATACATACATATTAAAATTATATATGTAAACGAATAAATATACATAAATAACAAATATACTTACACATATATGACATATACTATATTATACACGAAATTGAGAATAATATAAAGTACTTACTGCTCGGATAAAGTAAAAAAGTGAGCATGAACGTTTTTTTTTTTTTTGTGGGACACAATCTTTCATTGATTTTTGAACTGAGGAACACCTACATAGTTAATATATATTACATATATATGGTTACATTATAATATTATTGAAGAAAAACCATTAAGAACGGAAATATATTTGAGATATGCTCTTGAATATGATGATACCTTTCTGTTACACGTCTCATAAAGGAACCGCTATAACTTACGCACGAAATATAATAAATACATTTATTTTATATATTTAAGAAATGTTGATAATCTGTCAAGTTTGTATGCTTAGTTCATTTATCAACTTCATAATATATCATCTAATATATATATATATATATATATATATATATATATATATATATATATATATATATATATATATATATATATATATATATATATATATATATATATATATATATATATATATGTTGATCAAATTGTGTTCTACAAAGAAAAAAAAACTTTCAAAAAACTTTAATTTTGTTAAAACCATTTATTTTGAATTCAAAACCAAACCACTAAACCAAATTTGATCATATTTGTATAGGGCTAATCTGTAAGAATACTCTTTCAAATAAAAAAAAGTTTACAACTAGTTTACATCTGACGGAGTTATAAGGTACCAATAGGTAAAAGTAAAATAAAAAAAAATCATGCAACCGAATTGAGAACGCCATTATTTTTGAAGTCAGTTTTTTCTAAAAGATGATAATGGAATGGTATCCCCGCCTGCGCTAACGGTATACGCTGGCGGAGCACCAATGAGGGATCATAAGTAAGAACGAAAAGGCAGGTCAGTTAGCCCATCGTGATAAATACACCTGGAATTCATCACGACAGTTTCCAGAGGGGACCACGTGGAAGTCGAGCTGATAAGGTATATCGCTAGCAATGGGACTTATAGTCCATATTATTAAGAATCCCCCCCCCCCCCTCTTTTTGAAGTCGGTTGAAATCACAAATATAACTTGTTAAATACTAAGTCATTATTCTTGCACATTGTACGACGCGATCGAAAGGTCAAGGTCATTGGCGTATGTAAATCCTTTAACTTATGGGTAGGGAACCCACAATACAAATTCTACTCTCACTTACCCCACGAAGACCCATGTCCTCCGCATTGGACATTTTATTACTTTAGGTAATAAATCTCAATAGATTTATGAAAGGTCCTTAATACGCTACGTAGGTAAATGTTGTTATTTTATTACTGAAAAATCGCTTACCTTCCCCGAAAACTTGGCATATAGCTGACTGGCTAACTAATCTTCAAAGAGTTAGAAAACAGTATTTTGCTATTTTTAGGAGAATTCCTAAAATGTTAAATTAGTTAAAAACCACAATTTGTTCACGTGAATTAAAGATTCACCTACAAGCCTATATTGGCAAATTTATCCTGACCTGTCACGGCGGGGCACCAGTGAGTTTTCAAGAGAAATCGTGTGGAGGTCTACCTGATATTGTTAGTGTCGGGGCTATTAGACCCCATTACTAATAATCCCTCCCTTCCCTTCCCATCAAATGGGTCTTATTTTTTTATAATAGAAGATAATGTAATGGTAACAATGGACTGGACAAATCATGAGGCCGTCAAAAAATATATGGAGCCAAGATTTAATTGAATGGTATCCGCGTGATGAGAAAGGAAACCGAGGTAGACCTACAAAAAGTTGGGAAGATGATTTGCCCAAAGGCTGGAGACAAGCAAGGAATCGTTACCAATGGCGAAATATGGTGGAGGCCTATGTTCAAGGACAACATGAAAAATAAGATTTTTTTATACCACAGAGGTGGCAAACAAGCAGACGGCCCACCTAATGGTAAGCGGTTACCGTAGCCTATGAACGCCTGCAATATCAGAGGTATTACGCGCGCGTTGCCGACCCTGAAGAAACCTCTTTACCCCCCTTTTGAAGAACCCCATGCTGTAGTTTTTTGGGAAAACCTCGGCAGGGAACTCATTGCTGATGTCATCATTCATTATTTATATAAATGTATAATTTAAAAAAATCTGTAATTCAGAAATAAAGGCTTTTTTTATTTATTTTATTTATTTAACGCTGCCTGCGATATCGGTATACGCTGGCGGGGCACCAGTGAGAAATGATAGAGAAGTATAAAGTCAAGTCAATTGGCCCATCATCACTAATGCAAGAGATAATCACGATGGTTTCCAGGTGGAACCACGCGGAGGTTGACCTGATATTCTTGGAAATGGCTTATGAATACCATTACTTCCTCTCCCATCAGTTGAATCATCAGCATGTTGGCCAGTCTAATTGAATAAAAAGTGTCTTTAACCATGATATTCTTAGTTTTCCGTAGCACTGTGAACCATAAGAGAAGAGAAGAGAAGAAAGAAGCGTGAAGACAAACACGGTGTCGGCTTTAGAATCAGTACGCTTTGTCGTCACTTAGGCGTGAGTTCACAAAACGAACTGATTCTTTAGTCGACGTGTGTTCACATCATCGGGGAGGCTTCGCTACGACTGGTTCATCACCATCGTTTCAGCCGTTCTATTCACTGCTAAATATAGGCCTCCCCCATAGGCTGCAATAAGGAAAGGGCTGGTTAGTTGATTAGAAATATTTTGTTTAATTCCGCTACCATTAGCATACGTGTGACTGCCAACACTCGAAGATTGACTACTTTTATTGTTACCAGCAGTTCTGCACACTTCCAGATCAGCTATCAATCTCCGAGTGCCATTTCGTCCACGCACGTTTTGCAACACGTGTTTCGTCTATACACGAGGTATCTTCAGACATATTTAATAGGTCGCTGCTCGAAGCCTAGTGCCAGCTGTTGGGCGCCCAACTTGTGAGACAGACTAGACTATGCTCCACTACGAGAGAAAATTAGATTTAGACAAATTACATGTTTATATAACTTATACAATATATTGAAACCTTCAAGAAAACAGGATATTCCTTCTCAAAAGCAATTGCAATTTCTTTGACGCTGCGGTGCCTATGGGCGGCTGTAATCAGGTAAGCCGCATGCTATATTATAAAAAAAGATCATATCATCTCACTTTTTTTACGCGATTTTTGAAAAATAGAGAGAAATTAAATATGCGATTACGTATGTACGTTCAGATGAACAGTTCTACATTTTCTTTTCTGTATTAATTGGTATTATTTCCGTATTGAGTATTAAGTTAGTCCCTAAGTATATATCTAGTTACTTCTGTTTATTGAAGAACAAAATCCTGCTTGTCGTGGAGATTAAAAATTAGAATAATGGGATTAGGCAGTAAATTGAACAATCAGTATTAAATTTGTAATAATCAAAATTGGCATTTTTTGTTAAGAAATGTAAAATTTGTTGCCATGTGGTCCCGGTATAGAATGGACTACTCTTTCCTTTCCCGCGGGTGTCGTAAGAGGCAACTAAGGGAGCTTAATAATAGAGGGACGGGCGTCACTCTTAAAACTTCACAAAAACCTAACTGCGGTTGCCAATCCGCCTGTCGAGCGTGACAATAACTAGCAAAACTTTCAATTATGGGGAGGCCTATGTTTAGCAGTGGACAGTTAACGGTTGATCAATGTAAAATTTATTTATTCAGAAGTATATTTTGTAAAAATAAAAATTGTTATATCTAATCCAGCCATAAGTTCTGTTACAAATGAAAGTGCATTTTTTTTTTAATGAAATGATGTAAAATTTATATCGACATATTTATTAAAGTCTCAGTATAAAATAAAATATATATTATATTCGAAATGGCCATCTTTAGCTTTTATACAGGCCTTTAATCTGTCTGGCCACGAGCTTATGGATTTACGCACTGTTTCCAAGGAAAATTTCGCCACTGCTTGCTCCAAAGGTTTTTAAGAGACTCAATGTCGCCATGTCATTTAGAGCAGGCCATGTCCTCTAAAACTGACCATAATTTGAAGTTTGAGATCCTTAAAAGGTTGAGATTTGAGCTAGACGAGGGCCAGTCTTCAGCTCTTACAAAATCCGGAACGTTAGTTTCAAGTCAGGTTTGAGTAGTTTGTTCTTTGTGACCAGGTGCAGAGTTCTGCTGGAAAGTCCACGGTATATTTTTAAAAAGTGTATTGCTGAGAGGTTTCACAATATGATCCAAAACTGTATTTTGATATACTTTGGCTGAAATTTTCACTCCTTTTTACCAAAATGTAGTATAGTAATCTCCTTGATAAGACACGCCCCACCAAACCATCACTCATTCAGGACGATGACCACGTTGTACCTTTCCGACTACTTGAGCAGCTTCTTTAGAACTATGAGCGTTACAGTGTAAACTGTACACTTTATCATTTTGCTTATTGTAGTGTTCTTTAATCGTGAAAATTTTACATCGGTAAAAATAATATTTCTGTGCCTTTCACTTGCGTATCACCTGCGTAACAGAAGGCGTTTTGATCGATCTACTCTCTTTAATTATAAAGATTGATTTAGGGGATGTTCTGTATATCGACGACAAGCACCGAGCTTCAGGTCTTGTTTTATAATACGTGACAGAGTCCTAGCGGGAATCTTCATTTCTCGCGGTAATATTTTTTGCCTTCTAATGGCATTTCGGCGAATTCTTATTTTAATAGCATTAACAGGCTTTGTTGTTCTAACAACACACGGCGGCCCCGATCTTTTCTGGTTTTTGACAGAGAAAGTGTTGTTGTATCTGTTGATAGTACGATATACGAAGATACAGCTGATACCAAGCCTTTGAAGTGTCTGGAATATGACTGACGGCTCCATACCCATTTTGTTCAAGGCGATCACTGCAATCCACCCCATTCCATATTATAATTTAATAAAGAACACGAAGAAATATGTAAAATGGCGCGGAATCTAAAGAAGTCTTTAAAATAATAAACGTGTTCCAAATTCAAAATTATTAAAAAGTTTAAATAAAGAAAAAAATATATGTAACAGTATTTACGGCTAGACTAGTTATTAATATATAATTATAATTTTGTTCCAAATCCACTACTAGGTAATTTTAAACCGTTAATAAATAATTAAAGTACGCTGGAGGGTGAAAATTGCAGCGACAGCCGGCACCGACTGTGATGGGCTTAATGAGCGGAATAAGCGGAATGAGGCAAACATGGCGCCGCGGTTTGAGGGCTCCGCTTTGTATAGGTATGTTCCGGTAGTAAATGTCAAATGTTTTTTTTACAACACAAGAAGCAAAGGAGCATGCGGCTCACCTGATGGTAAGTGACTATCGCCGCCAATGATCACACGAAACACCAACGGCAGTGCAGGTGTGCTGCCGGCCTTTTAAAAAGGAATATGCTCTTTTCTTGAAGGTTATGACGTCGTATCGGTTCAGAAATACTGCTGCTGGAAATTGATTCCAAAGAGTTCTTAGTGAATATTAATATTTATTATTTATTTTAAACTAATCGACCCGACAAATGTATTATCCTCTATCACCACACACCGGGTTAATTTTCTTCCAAATTTCATCAAAATAAGTTGAGCTGTTTTAATTAGTATCAACAAATATATTAACATGACACGAAATATCTGAATGTACAGCTAGGAACAGTCGGCATATTAAAAGATTTTTTTTCATTTTTTTTAAGTCAACTTACTTATCTATATTACTAGATTTTACCCGAGACTTCGTCTGCGATATGTAAACTTTCCAGGATAAAAGTAGTTTATATCCTTCTTCGTCCTTTCTAGTATGTGTTTGCCAAATTTTATAGTGATATGTGAAACCGTTAAGGCGCTTTAAAGTAACAAACAAAACTTACTGTAATATTTATAATAATAATAATGAATCATGGACTATACGCATATACGTATAACTATACGCATGGGGGATATTATGGGCGAAAGAGTATACTCTCTTATGTCCATGGTACTGCTCATGTCTATAGGCGACCGTTATCACTTTCCATCAGGTAAGCTGTCAGCTTGTTTGCCATTCTAAGTTCCATAAAAACAATATAATAAAAAACATTTTATTGTACACAAATGAGATGTATAAAAGGAGTATTTATACAGAATGTGCATATACAAAAGGCGGCCTTATCGCTAAAAGCAATCTCTTACAGACAACCTGGCATAAATAATGGATAAGTACAGAGAGAAAGGTAGATGGCGCTAGTCAGACACAGTAAAAACAAAAAAACCACATAAAATGTACATTGTTCTAAATATAATTTATATAAAAACAAAACTAAATTATATAAACATACATATATAATATAAATAATAATACATAAATATACTAAATAGATCAAAGTAAATAACAGGTGATAAAAATCAAGGCAAATTAGAGAGGTAATGAGATTTTACCTATCACTGGGATATTCTTTATTGCCCTTATAAATTACAAAGATAAGATAATTAAAAATATTGCGAGCAAGGTTAAACTTATCTCTGAGAGAGATTTTTCCTAAACAATCTAATACATTGATAAAAGACGTAATTGTCAGCGGTAGTTATTTTTCACATTTTTCTCTCCATAATTACATTCTTCAGACTTCAACGAATGATTGAAAATAAAAATTAGCCGAATAAGTCCAGCCCTTCTCGAGTTTTAAACTTAGCAACGTATTTAGTATAAGTCTTTATTTTGTCAGTAATTGCCACGCTGGGCAGGCGGATTGGCAACCGCAGTTAGACTTTGGAATTGTTTTAAGACGGACGCTGCTGTCCAACCCTCGCCCTCCCTTAGTCGCCTCTTACGACACCCATGGGAAAGAAAGGGGTGGCCTATTCTATGCCGGGACTTAATACCGGGACTAATGGGGTCAATACTCCTCGGTACTTACAGAACATAATTAATCCTTTGAATTACTTAAAACATAAAAACTTACTCAATTAATTAATATAGGTACATAGTACTTATGTTACTGATATTACAAACGGAGGATAGAGGGGATGGATAGGTTGATGCATTTTAATTAATACTGAGTGATAACAAGCGTAAGGTAATACCTGTTGTGTACCTGGCATTCGTAACAACAGACGGTAAAATAAATTAAAAGCTTAAGTTCTTTGATGGCTGTGAGTTAAATATCAAGTTATCCTTAAGGTTTTCATAATGAAGCAATTTTTATACAATTCTTAATGGAAATAAACAGACGGTCTAATGTAGCAACTGTTATCTCTTTTTTTTTCATTTAAAAGTTTCCTCTTGTCGGTGCAATTGATTCATGCATCTTCCTCCAGCCAGCTCTATCCCAGGCCATATCCTTTATCTCCGTATACGACATGACGCCTAATATTTCTTTTATCTGTCCCATGTAGTTATTCCTCGGTCTTCCTCTTCCTTTTTTGCCTTCTATCTTTCCTTCTGTTATCTATTGATTACATAATGGTAGATACAGCTTAGTTTTTTTTTATTCAACTTATAATGGCAAACAAGCTGACGGCCCCCCTGATGGAAAGTGGTAACCGTCGCCTATACACATGAGCAGTACCATGGACATAACAGAGTATATATACTCTTTCGCTCACGATACCCCCATGCGTTGCCATTTCTGAGGACTCAGGTATTATTCCTCTGTACCCTGTAAATTCACTGCCATATCCCACCCATCAAACCGAAACACAGCCATGCAAACACAACTGCTTTACAATAGTGAGGGATTGATACTTTTAACTGATAATATTCCACGTAATAGTAACTTCGTGTAACTATCGAATGGAAATATTACGTTAAATAGAGAAACGACGTTTCAGAATCGACCCCAATAGGTTATATAACCAAGCAATTACATATATACACAGTGATATCTCTCTATTCAGTGCCCTAAAGCGACGTTTATCTGATTTCCGTAACTGAATCTCAATGGGGCGAGACAAAACGATGCTGTCCGTTAAGTGATACTGTGCAGATCAGATTGGGTATCAGTTGGGAAGTTAACTAGAAATGTTAGAGGGAAACGACGTTTCGGTTATTTCTTGTAAATACTCATTTAATTCTGAAGGGTTGCGTTTCTTTGTTTCGTTTATTTGTATAACTTATAAAGGGTGTGTATGGACAGTTTTCTTTTTTAGCAAACTTTGAAAAATAAAAGTATACCTGGTAAAAAAATTTAAGTATACGAAATTGAAACATTTTTTTTTATACAATTTAGAATGGCAAACAAGCTGACGGCCCACCTGATGGAAAGTAGTAACCATCGCCTATAGATATGAGCAGTACCATGGACATAACAGAGTATACTGTTTCGTCCATGATACCACCCATGCGTTGCCATTCCTGAGGACTCAGGTGTTATTCCTCTGCACCCAGTAAATTCACGCTATATCCCACCCTTCAAAACGATTGGCAACCGCAGTTAGGCTTTGGTTATGTTTTAAAAGGGTCGCTGCTGTTCATCCCCCGTCTTCTCTTAGTCGCCTCTTAACAGCCACAAGAAAAGAAGGGGTGGCCTATTCTATGCCGGGACCACATGGTACATTATTTGGCTAGTCAACTAGAATCAAATTACTGAACTTAAATTAATATCTCAGATAATATAAAGGTTACGTTTTATCTAAACTTTGACATTTCTGTTTATTCACAAAATGGTACTAGTTAAATCAGTTTTTAATGTTGTTAAAAAATCGCACGCCGACATAGAGACAGAATGTATACGGCAAACGTAAACCTGTTTCATCTAAAAATTACATACATTCTAGCAAAATAAATTCATTTCATTTCATTTCTGAATAGTTTTCAGTGTATTTTTTTTATACAACTTAGAATGGCAAATAAGCTGACGGTCCACCTGATGGAAAGGGGTAACCGTAGCCTATAGACATGAGCAGTACCATGGACATAACAGAGTATACTGTTTCGCCCATGATACCACCCATGCGTTGCCATTCCTGAGGACTCAGGTGTTATTCATCTGTACCCAGTAAATTCACGCAGAATAAAGTACTCATATTTGAGGTAACTATAAATCACTTTCGAACTTACTTAACTTTAGGGACAAAAATTTAATAAACCTTATAAATTAGAAACCATGAGTCACGGGATCTGCATAGTGGGCAAGACT